TGGGTGTGTGTGTGTGTGTGTGTGTGTGTGTGTGAGAGTCTGTGCATGTGTGTCTGCTCTCACGCCTGTCAAAAAGACGTGCAGCAACCTAGAATCAATAAAAGTTTCCCATATGTCTGTTTAGTAATTGCATGTTTACTATTCAGGGGTGTTCCAAATGGTCATATAAAAATGCAAATTGAAGGTTACATTTTAATATTAATTTTCATGTCTTGGCTTCCTTTTGCAGGCAGTATAAAGTCACAAAAATGTTTGTTGTGTTTGTTTTCACATTGTTTCGTTTTTGTCACCCTCAGCCTACTCTACTGTGTCTGGTGTAAATGGGCCACTGGTTATTTTGGACAATGTCAAAGTAAGACCTTTTTCTATGTTTATTAAAACTAAAGTATTTCAAAATAAACTTACTTTAAAATGACAAAAAGTAAAAAAGGATTTTTTTTAATGTATAAATTAAATTTAAATCATTTTATAGTTTAACTTCTGAACATTAGATTTTGGATAAAATGGTTATTTATGTTTAATAACATACTGTTCAAAATTTTGTGGTTGAAAAGATTTATAAATGTTTTTGAAAGACGCCTCTCATGCTCACCAAGATTGCATTGATTTGATCAAAAATAGCTGTGAAATTTTATAAAAATTTTAAATAACTTTTTTCTATTTTAATTACTTTAAAATATCATTTATTTATCTTATGGCACAGCTGTACTGACTTTGAACTGTTAAGTTAAATTCACAAATTGACTCTAAACAATAAATTTACTTTTAAATGGTAGTTTGTATATTGATCCTCGTCTTCATCTCTGACTTTATCACGTTCCTCTAGTTTCCACGTTTTGCAGAGATTGTGCACCTTACCCTACCTGATGGGACCAAGAGGAGCGGGCAGGTTCTGGAGGTCATTGGCACCAAGGCTGTCGTTCAGGCAAGTTTTCATTTAAAAGCATCGGCAGATGTTTGACTCTATGAGTCAAATATAACTATTCTCTATAAATATTTGTTAGACATCAACATTTGCAGTATCTAAGGTTAATATCAGGTCATAACTGAAAAATATTTACATTTTGTGCCCATCAGGTGTTTGAAGGCACCTCAGGCATTGACGCTAAGAAGACCGCGTGTGAATTCACTGGTGACATCTTGCGCACACCTGTGTCTGAAGACATGCTTGGTAAGCATATATAACTGACGCTCTTGCAGCCTATGTAATCATAGTCTTTATGTGTCTTCTAACCAATACAGACTTCATGAAAAACTTTTTTATTTCAGGACGCGTTTTCAACGGGTCAGGTAAACCAATTGACCGGGGTCCTACTGTTCTGGCTGAGGACTATTTGGACATCAATGGTAAGAGACTTGTTTTTTTTTTTTTAAAGCTTTATGTAACTTTTGCAGGAACAATTGGTTTCTTGAGAGGCACATAGATGACTGAGCAGTGCTGTGATTTTATTAACTCTAGAGTTTGGGTTGATTTGAGAGAAACCTGATTTAAAATTTTAGCTGCACATCTTTGCCAATTAGGCTGCCACCAGCCATGTTAAATGTTCTTTGTCTTTGCGTTTGTGCGGCATGCACACAGCTTAGTTAAGAGGCCAGCATGCCAGAATATGTTCATCAATGCTTAAAATTCCTCCTTGTTGGTATTTGAATTTTTTGAGAGGTTGAATGGGAATTTTTGTGTGCTTTTTAAGCCATTTACTGACCTCATGATCCTGATCTCTGCTAAGCTGAAATGGCAAAGGTGATCTTTTGAGCTATCAAAGGTATACAGTGGCGATTCAGGGCAATGTTTGAATGAGCCGAATGGATAAGAGGGGGCGTAATAAAGGGTTGATCAGGCCTCAAGGTCACACCACTCCAGATTTAATGAGAAAACGGTTTTCTAAAATATAAGCCTTCATCATTTGTCTTGGTCAATGTGGATAGTTTTGCCTTAAGAAAATCCTTTTTTTTCTATTAGCCTTCTTTTCCTTCTTTAGAAACAGAAGTTGTACTTTGTAGACTCTTAAGGACCAGATTTTTTCTTGCTCTGGTGAGATCACTGTACTCCCTTTGACTCTTCGTAGGTCAGCCCATCAACCCTCAGTGTCGTATCTACCCTGAGGAAATGATCCAGACGGGCATCTCTGCTATTGACGGCATGAACAGTATTGCTCGTGGACAGAAGATCCCCATCTTCAGTGCTGCTGGGCTACCGCATAATGAGGTGTGTTTTAACAGCACTGCCAACATTAATTGACTGATATATATAGGTGGCAGGTTGTTTCTGTTTTGAGTTAAAGGCACAATATGTAAGATTTTTTTATTAAAATTTCCAAAAACCACTAGAACAGTGTTATATATTTTGCTGACTTGTGTACTTGCATTATCCCAAATGTTTCGAAGAATGTTTAAATCCAGAGAAATAAGCAATTTTAACTAGTGACACGGACCGTGTCCATAGTGTCATTGTGTCGCCTGCCAATGTCAAGCCGTATGTCACGCTCGTTCAGCGGCCTCGTTTCGCTTCGACAGCTTTCAGCCTCATCCTGCTTCATTCTACTACGTTAATAAATCATTAGCTCATCCATGAACATGATTTCTGCCCGAGTCCCGTCGGATTGCATCGGCTGTGGGGATGAAGACGACAACTCCCATGATTCCACACTCAGTCACGGCGTCATCAAACTACGCCTTTGCCTCTGTTTATTTTGAATACGCGCCCTCCAGCGGCGAAAATTACATATTGTGCCTTTAAGATTAAAATAGTTGAAAAGTATGAAATTAAATATTGTTCTGTCATGATTCTCTTCTTATTATTTTTATATTTAATATATATACCTACCAAGGCTGCATTTATTTGATCAAAAATATTGTAAAAATGTAATATTGTCAAATATTATTACAGTCTAAAATAACTGTATTTATTTTATTCAAATATATTTTAAAATGTAAATGTAAGTTTCCTAAAGTTTTCCTAATCAAAATTCCTGTGATTATCCATTTTTATCAGTGCTCAGAAATTAATAATGGTTCTTATTATTGTAAATTTTTAAACTGTTTTTGCTGCTTAATATTTTTGTGAAAATTGTAATAGTTTTTTTCAGAATTCTTTGATTAATAAAAAGAACAGCACTTATTTGTAATAGAAATCTTTTATAACATTATGTTTTTACTGTCACTTTTGGTCAATTTAATGTGTCTTTGCTGAATAAAATAACTATTTATTTTTTTATTTATTTAAATCTTTCTTTCCTCAGACTTTTGAAGGGTAGTGCATTTCCACAAAAATATTAAGCATTAAAAACTGTTTTCAACATTGATAATAATAAGAAATGTTTCTTGAGCACTAACTCATAGCAGCATATTAGAATGATTTCCAAAGGCTCACACAGTAAATAATTCATATATTATAGTATAATACATATATAAATTAAAAGAACACTACATAGTATTAAATATTGCTAAGCCCGATATCTGGCCTTGGTTTCGAGATTATTGATATTGGATAGTTATTTGGCCTGACCAGTATATTTTATTTTTCTCTAGCACACATTTCCTGTACTTTTGTTTCAACGCATGGCCGCATTAATAGATTCGCCTTGTTTTTGCGTTCAACTAGCTAGATTTTAACTTTCTTTGAAATGCACTGCAGGAATGTGTCTTTATACAGAACCCAATTCAGGAACCGATGATACAATACAGGCCGTGCTGCTTGCCAATGTGTTTTAATTATTTTAATTAAACCTAGAGGGATTTATTTAAATTCCCTCATTTGAAGTGTTGTGATCAAATTTAGCACTTTATTGTGCAGCAGTGAGGCAGCCTCAGCGCCTTTTTCTGTACTATGCTCGCGAGTGAGACAAGGCTGTGTGATTAACGTTAATTCGAGAGGGATCTGTAATTGATTTCACCCTGTGGTGTTTCTGTGGAAACAGTGAGGTGGGTCAGAGTTCGTTTCATCACATTTTCCTCTCGTGTGAATGCGGGAGGAAGCGGTATGATTTAGAGAGCTCTAGAGTAAGCAAACAAAACCAACCACTTAGTACTGATCAGTACATTCAGTACATGCTTTAGGTCAGTTGGTTTGTTTAGTTCCAAGATGAGTATGATGTCCTTGCAGAACTGAATGATAAGAATCGTAAATGATTCTTGAACTCTAAATTGGTTCCTCAAAGTTTCAAAGGACAGAGCAGAGGTCATAAACGATTTCTTTGCCACCAACTCATTATCGCATGAATTGTTGAGGGGAAATATGCACAGAAACACAATTTTTAAGGCTTTTAGTGAGGGATTACAAGGACTTTCTATGTATACAACTCCACATAGTTTATTATTATGAAGAGGTTGCTTTTGTTTAAGTCATTTCTGTCCCAGAGATCACAAATAGGCTTTTGGAGTTGGTTATTCCCACCAGCTATGACTGTAAGTGACTCATCTGCCAAACTCCTCTGCCGTCAGGCTGGAAAATGAATGTAATAACCCACGACATGAGCTGTTAAGGATATAAGTAGGCTGCCTTGAACTGAGTAGGAATAGTAGGAATTGTGGGAAGGTCAATGATGTCTATCATTTTGTATCATAGCTAGATTACTAGTCCCCAGAGCCTATTTGACTCTCATAACTATAATTATTTGGTGTGAAGTATGTTTTGTGAAGTAGTTTTTCGTAACTCAAGGTCAAATAATTTTTAAGCCTCACTGCCTCGTTTTAGCCTCAGTTTTGGTGCAGTCTTTGCAAATAGTTGAGAATTATAAAATGACAGCGCCCAACTTCAGTCAAGGCCTCAAACCTTCAAAGACACGTACCAGAGTTTTAGAATCTCCGCAGTTCTGAACTCAAAGGAAGAACATGAATAATTCTCAAACCATTGACTCTATATTATCTCTATTATTTACGTTTTCAGTTGATTGTGTATTTGCCACTATTTTAAAGGTTTTCTTTTGCTTTTGCTACATAAACAGGATGGTTAGTAACTTTTTATGTCCTCTCAGTTATTTAGATAAAACATTGTATACATTAAATAGAAAAAGCATATTTTCATTTGAAGTACATATGTTTCTTAGGTCCAGTCGCAGATATGACAGATCTTTATTAGATATGCCACTCTATTGCATATTTTCTTGGTAATTGGCAAATGAGGCTTTCTGTACATCCTCTTTCCATACACATGTTTATCTTTTGTGATTTGTTACTGGCTGGTTGACTCAACCCTGAGATCTTAACACCCGAGAGCTGTTTTCTCCAAACCATCAACCAGAAAGTTCCCATGAACACCCTTAAACTCATACACACATAAGCAATAATAATAAATCACAACACTTTTGGGCTCTTCACACTATGGCGAACCCAGGTTTGTTTTTTTCATTTTAAACCCTTTAAGACCCTGGGTAAAGAATATGAATATAGTTTATGAAAACCAGCACCAGACCAAGGTTTTTCTGCTTTTACACTGCTAATTGAAAAGTATACATTGTGAAATTGTTCTGCTAGAATGTTGAAATGAGTTAAAGAACAGAATTACGAAAGCTTCAAGAGTTAAAAATTACAAGTGTGAAAAGCCCATCTCTTCTGTTCAGATCTGTTCCTTGCCTAAAGAAACCTGGTCTGAAAGAGTGAATCATCAACTACACGCATGCAGGAAGGAAGAGTATTGAATTCTGTCATGGCAATGAGATGAATAGGGCAATAGTTAATGAATTGGATTAAACTGGGGAAAAAATGTACTGTTTTCAGTATATAGACTCTGCAAAGAGAATAAAGCTCTAGTGATTGTCAGTTATGAAAATATATGATCAAAAGCCAAGGTTGAATGGTGTGAACTTCCAACAGGCCAAGTGTAAAGAGGGTTTCAGTGTCTCACTAATGAAGGTGCTGTACTGTGATATAAAAGTTTCTCGTTTCATTAAACAGGAGTCGTGGGGTCACAGCCGGCTTTATCCCCTCAGAGAAACAGGTGTTCTGGGTGATAAGCGTGAAATTCCTCATGCTTGTGGTCTTAATCTCTTTGTTGCAAATACACACATATATATAGTACATTATAGAAACATGCTTTGCACTCAAATTTGATGTTCATTTTAGCCCTATAGTATGTTAATGTTCAACATGCTAAACAGAATATAGCATCAAATATTTCATTTTTTTTCTGTAATTGAATTTTTTTTTTTTTCTTATCAAACAAAATATGAGGTTAAATATCGGTGATTCAAATAATATATTGTACACTACTGTTGAAATGTTTGTCATCAGTATTAAAAAAAATAAATAAATAATACGTTTGTTTTGCAAGAATGCATTATATTAATCAAAAGTGACAGTAAATACATTTAGAATGTTACAAAACATTTCCATTTTAAATAAATGCTGTTTTATTTATTTTCTATTCATCAGAGAAATCATGGTATCCGCAAAAATATTAAGCAGCACAATGTGTTTCAACATTGTTAATAATAAGAAATGTTTCTTGAGCAACATATCAGCATATTAGAATGATTTCTGAAGCATCATGTGACACTGAAGACTGGAGTAATGACAGATGCCATGACAAAAATAAATTACTTAAGTATATATATATATATATATATATATATATACTTTAATATACATTAAACTACAAAACTGTTATTTTAAATTATAACTACATTTCACAAAAGTAGTTTTTACTGTATCTTTAATCAAATAAATGCAGCCTTAGTGAGCATAAAGACCTTCTTTCAAAAACATTGAAACTTACCCGACCCATTTTTTTTTTAATATCAAATTGGACAACTCTAATGTTTTTTGTTCTGTGCTTTTTGATTGGTAGATTGCTGCCCAGATCTGTCGTCAGGCTGGTTTGGTGCAGAAATCGAAAGATGTGATGGACTACAGTTCAGAAAACTTCGCTATTGTCTTTGCTGCCATGGGGGTGAGTGGTTTTCTGTGTCTTTATTTGTGCCAGTTTCCAAGTATGTGTTTTTCTTGTGTTTTTTTTTCTTACCATGGTCAAAGGCTTGTTTTACTTGAGGTTCCTTGTGTGTTCATTTTCTTTACAACGGTAAATCCTGTTTTACATCTAGGTCTCTATACATGGCTCAGGTGTTTGCATGAATTTCAGGATGCTTGTGTAAAATGATCCTCTCAGTGAACGGAATGTAAAATTGTGTCCATTTTTTGTGAGTGGGTGAATGTTGGTCCTCGTAGGTGTCTTAATCCTGCTCCTCAACACCACCTTAACCTTCTGCCCTCACCTATCTGCTTCCTTCCCAAACCTTTGTTATTGTCACCTGAGTGGCTGCGGTCTGTCCTCTCAGACAGGTATTACCTGCGTCAGGTGTCAGGTTCACCTGTGTATTCAAGTGTGGAGGGCTTCCATTAACCCATGCTTGAAATCTCACTGACCCAGCCTTGTGTCCTGTGGCTGCTGGGCTCCCAATGCGGACTCGTGTCTAATGCATTCACTTTTGACGCACTGTAACTCTATATCTTGCTTTTATGTGCAGGGTGGTCAAAAAGCTAAACCTTTTATAAAAGAAAAAAAAAGATTTTCCTTTAATAGGAAATGTACTTCAAGAGGTCATTTTGAACTGAATAGTGGAGATTTTGGTTGAACAATGAACAAGAAAGTACCTGACATCGTCAGTTCATTAGAGTCTGGTGAAACAGGAAGTGAAGGTCTTACTCTGGATTTGTTCAGCATTTCACGTGTTTGTTTGTTTTTAATTCCAGGTCAACATGGAGACTGCACGTTTCTTCAAGTCAGACTTTGAGGAGAACGGTTCTATGGACAATGTGTGCTTGTTCCTGAACCTGGCCAATGATCCTACGTGAGAATTCATTTAAATGACCTCTGTCCTCTTATGTAATGCATTTTGTATAACATACATATCGACTATTTGAATCTTTTGAATTGTTCTATGTAGCATTGAACGCATCATCACTCCGCGTCTGGCTTTGACCACAGCGGAGTATCTGGCTTATCAGTGTGAGAAGCACGTGTTGGTCATCCTCACGGACATGAGCTCCTACGCAGAGGCTCTGAGAGAGGTAAGGACGATATCATATCGATAAAATAATTTCCTCATAATGAATGTCAGAATCAAGGGCCATTAACATGCAAGAGCCTCAGATTTTTGAGAAAAGTAGATTTTAATTTACTTCCATAAACAAATACTTAAAATTGCTCAAAATTCATATGCCTTTTTCCCCAGTGGAATAAAATAATAAAGGTGCACTTTTCCATATTACAAAAATGCATGGTGATCACTGACTGTAGTATGGTTTTACACTTTAGTTCAAAAGTGTGTGATTAGTAAGGGATTACTTTTTGATTAATAATTTTATACAGCAAAGACATTAAATTAATCTCAAATGACAGTAAAAACTGTAAAAAAAACAAAAACAAACTATTAATCAGCCCAACCGATTTCTTGAGCAGCAAATCAGCATATTAGAATGATTTTAGAAGGATCATGTGACACTGAAGACTGGAGTAATGATGCTGAAATTCAACTTTAACATCACAGGGATACATTACATTTTAAAATATATGAAAATGCATAGTCGTTTTAAATTGTAACACTATTTCACAATATTACTATTTTACTGTACATTTGGGTCAAATAAAGGCAGCCTTGGTGAGCCTAAAAGGCTTGGAATATATTTCAGCGGGTTTATATTGGTAAACGGACAAGCTGTAAGAACTCACTCAAATGCATTTTTTTAAGGATTTATTTATTAAATCTTGTTAAAGTGAATTCAGCCATTTCAACAAACATGGTCGAAGGTCTCCTTTACAGAGTCACAATGCACTTGAATCTCATATAAACAGTTCATATTGACATTTTATAGCTATAAAAGCATTCAAGGGAAAAGTAGGTTTTTCTATTAGATGCAAGGGCAAGCAAATCTGAAACGCCTTCTATGCTTTGTGGTGATATTTCCAGTTTCATCATATGTCATGTTGTTCTCCATTTGAATTTCATACCTGCTTAAACACAATTGACCTTGTCAAGTAAATAATCCTAAGTCTCTGTATCTAGTCTCTATATCATTTTGTATTTTCCTAGCCAATGTACTGTGCACTTCTTAGGCTAGATGCACAGCAAACACATTTATATTGCGTTATCATGTATCATATTAATAACGACCTTACTTAGCATCTCTCAACTCTAATTGACATTGCATGTACAGGGCTATTTCCTTTATATCATATTCCAACTGTTTGGCAGTGAACAAACAGCTATGATGGCTATGAAAGAGCACAATCTCGTGTAACAAAAGCACAGTAACCTCCTCTTGACATTCGGAACAATATTGGAGGCTGGAGCAATGGCCAGCGTTACGGTTAGTATCGTGTTTCCTCTGTGGCTTATGTTGAAGAGCCACTGTGTCCAATTGTAATGAATAGATTTCAGCACCATCTGCCAAGGTGTAAAAATCGTGTTTTAAACAAAACCCGATGTTAAACCAAGACATTGGCTTTGTTAGCATATTGATAGCATATTGATAGATCAAATCAAATCAAGTGTTATTGGCCACAAGAATACACAGAAGTACAACATGCAGTGAAATTCTTTGTACAAATCTCTGTACATCTTTGAATAGAATTAACATAAGAATTTACATAGATTACATATAAATTATTAGAATTAGAACACAATGTAGAAATAAATATATAATTATTTATTTATTTACGCTGTACTACTCAAATTATTTCTGCTCTAAATAGTATATATGTGTTTTTAAAAAAAATCAAGGTTAATGTTGCTTTTGATTTTTTTGCACTGGAAGAATGAAGAAAATGGAGTGTGTTGCATTAGAGATACTGCATTCCATAAAGTGGATGTATACTACACATTTTAGGTCACAGTCCGCATAACGGCAAAATAGTATTGCCGTACTTGCAGTAGTATTGAGTTGTATGGTAGTATGCCATTCTAAACATAGCAGTGGGACGTTCTGACAGACAAACAGATTTGTGTGTACTTCATGTTCCTCAGCCTTCTGAAGATGCTTTTTTTTCTGGCAGCATCTTCTTTCTTCCACCCTCATGCCAATGATTATCATTTTTGTGCCACAAACATGTTTGGATGTCTAAATGTGTCAAAACGCATAATGCTCATTGTAAATAGTTTGCATGCATGTGAAAGAACCATTCCCTCCTGTCTTTGTGCCGCTGTAACCTTGGGATACATTCAGCCCTATATCAAAGCTGCCTGCTTTGGCTTCTGCGGTAGGCAGACGCTTCCAAAGAGCTGCGGGAGTGTTAACATTTAACTCCCTCTCCCATTCAGCCTGGTAAAGGTGAGGCTCAGAACAACGTCTACACTCGTTTTAACCTTGGGAGAAGATCTGAGTGTATTTTCTGCTTATAAAAGTGCCTCGGTGTGCAGATGCAGCACGTAGAAAACAGATTAACACAGAACCTCAATTGTCATGATGTAAAACTCCCGTTTTGTCTGTATGTGTTGCGGTTTTAGGTTTCTGCTGCCCGTGAAGAGGTGCCGGGCCGTCGTGGTTTTCCAGGTTACATGTACACTGATCTTGCTACGATCTACGAGCGTGCTGGAAGAGTGGAGGGCAGGAATGGATCAATCACCCAGATCCCCATTCTAACCATGCCTAATGATGGTACATGCGCGCATACATTTATTTTTATATAACACTAATTGTTGATGATGTAAAGATGGGAAGCCATTTCAACAAATATTCAACTTCAGCATGTAACTTATCCTATTCTTTTTGAGCAGTTTGTTGAGAAGTGTGCTATTACTTTTCTATGAAACTTAGAATTCAGCCTGGTGAAAACAAATGTAAAAAAGTCAAAAATATTTTTAAAATGTAATATTTAGTTACATTAGTTTTTTAGTCGAGTTATTTTTAATAATTATTTTTATTAAATCTATTTTTTAGTTCTAATTTAGTCTAGCATCTCATTTTGTTAGGTATTTAGTTTAGTCTCAGTTTAGTCATTTTAATTAAATCTATATTTATTAGTTTATTTGGATATTTATGTCATTATTTAGCTTTAGTTTAGTTATTTACTTTAGTTATTTAGTTTGTTACAGTTCATTTATTATTTATATTTGTTAGTTCATTTATTTTACTATTTTTTTTCAAATGAGGACATGCCGTAATGTTCCTTAACAAAGGTTTTGCAAGTTTTAGGTCACTTCTTAGGTTTGTCTCTAAACTACAGCCAAGCACATTTGCACATTCTTGTACACTTGATTGCTGGATAAAATGTATATGAATTTAATGAAGTTTCATTAGTTTTCTTCAGTGATGAAGGTGTCCTTCCACCGTTACAAAACTTGCTAGAATCAGAATGATTGTGGACAGTTGGTGCTATAAAATATGCACTTCTTTATTTTGTGTTCAGGCCGGACACAGCAACTGCACCCAGTAACTAGCACTCTTGATGGCTTTGGTTACTATAGAAACATCCTTGTGAAGGACCTGTGTGTGTTTCTGAATGGGTGTTCCCTATTATAGCAGCACCAGGAAACCTCTATCTTTCTTCTTTCTCATTTTCTTTGCCCTTCTATCTCAATAACTCACTATCTCTCACTATATTCTGTCAAAAACACCACAATATTACTGTACCTGTTAGTATCTTCAGATCAGGGCTGCAAATGAAATGGTTTATAAATGCTCTTAATAACAACATCAACATCATTTATGACTAGAAAAGCAGTTTTGACTGCATAAAATTGCGTAAATCTGCCAATTTCATTTTTGCCTCTGTTTACAGATATCACCCATCCGATCCCTGATCTGACGGGATACATCACAGAGGGACAGGTGTATGTTGACAGACAACTGCATAACAGACAGGTGGGAAATTTGACCAGCCATAACATCTGTGCAGAAGCTGTGCAGAATCTGCAAAAGTACACTAGGACTCATTAGTGTGTTTCATATACATGAATTTATAATCAATATTTAATAATTAACCTTTAAAGTGAACATTTCCAAAGTTAGAACAGTTTTTCCTATTACTTTCATAACCTTACTCTTCGTTGTTCTTTTTTTCCCACTTAAAGATCTATCCTCCCATCAACGTACTGCCATCTCTCTCTCGTTTAATGAAGTCCGCTATCGGAGAAGGCATGACCCGCAAAGATCACGCTGATGTCTCTAACCAGCTGGTAATTACGTTGTGGAACGTTCATACCACAGTTTGCCATTTAATTGATTTTTTTCTTTTTCAGGCTAATTTTGACTCTGTTTCTCTCTTAATCCCACAGTATGCATGTTATGCTATTGGTAAAGATGTTCAGGCCATGAAGGCTGTGGTGGGTGAGGAAGCTTTGACCTCAGATGACCTGCTATACCTGGAGTTCCTGCAGAAGTTTGAAAAGAATTTCATTACTCAAGGTACAAACCCCTAGCGTGCGGTTCTCAATCCCGCATTGGCTCATTCACTTTACATGGGTCTAAATTTGGCAGAAATGTTAGAGCTGTACTCGCAAAGACCCAATTATTCTGAAGTCTTTCTCTGGTGAATGAAACTTTTGCTTAATTTTAAGCAGATTTCGTCACACTAGAGCATTTTTTTCCCCAAATTACAAGGTTCTTCCGACTGTGTGAGTGTGTACTATTATGCTGTTTTATGTTCTATATCGGAAACCACTAGACGGTATTTCTATCAGCCACTGCTCTTGCTCTGCTGCAAGCTCTTTCACCTCAGTGAATGTTGTTCTCAATGCTGTCGCTCTTCAGCGTGGCACAAGGTGCAAGGCCCTCCGTCTCCATCAAACCCTCCACTTCACTTTAAAAAAAATAAGTATGAACAACTTTCATATTTATCACAGCCCTATTTAGGGGATGAAATCTCTCCACCTCCTTTGTGTCTGTCACACAGTTGCTGTGTCGTTACCGTCATTGGTAGAAAAGGACATTGTTCCACCAACACATGTTGGACTCCAACAATCTCAGTTATTGCTTCTATTTACAGAGAACAAAGCATGCATTCACTCATCCTCCCAGCATTTTCATGGAACAATATAGTGTTTCCTTCAAATGAAGCACTTTTCTGTTTAACTGAAATATGCCATTAAAGATGCTACGTGTCAGTCGGCGGATTTGACCTTTTAAGTAACATGAAGCCCAATACAAGGCTGTAAAGCTAATTTCTTAAAGAACATTCTGTTCATTCACATTCATTTTTTGCTTCAAAGCTAAAAGATTAAAGCTCTGAGAAATTAACATCTGATTATAATACTTTTTATATTATATATTTATGTTTCTATATCTGTCTGTGTACACCAATCAAAAGTTTGAGTCGGTAAGATTTGAGTCGGAAGTGTCTTATGCTCACCAAGGCTGAAATTATATTTAAAAAATAATTTAATATTTTGAAGTTGTGTTAACATTTAAAATAACTGTTTTCTATTCATATGTATTTTAGAATGTAATTTCTTACTGTGATGGTAAAGAAGAATTTTCTGCAGCCATTACTCCAGCCTTCAGAAATCATTCTAATATGCTTCCAATATTATTCTGTGTTATTATTATCAGTGTTAAAAAAGGTTGTGCTGCTTAATATTTTTGTGGGAGCCATGATACACTTTTTTTCAGGTTTCTTTGCTAAATAGACAGTTCAAAAGATAAAAGTATATGTATAGGTAAAAGGTGAATAATTTCTTTCAAAAACAATCTGAGCCCTCCCTGAAGTCTCTGACATATGAACGCACAATTTTTTTGCCAGTACAATTCTGTGGGATTTTTCAGGTCTTTGAAAGACCCCTTTTTGTACCCCTTTAAGAAAACCGTAAGTCCAATCAGCTAGATATAGCATACGCAAGTCTGGTGCGAAATTTTTCACGATGGAAATTAAATAATATGTTTTGTTGGTTCTTGGCTCAAAGGTTCCAATAGTATAAGTCACCTGAGTATGTGACAAATGGCTCAAAAGTTATGATACATAATGGAAGCTTGAGTGTTATGTCATGTGACTTTGAGTTTATGATGTATGTGTCTATTTCTCTAGGTCCCTATGACAACAGAACTGTGTTTGAGACACTGGACATTGGTTGGCAGTTGCTCCGAATCTTCCCCAAAGAAATGCTGAAGAGAATTCCTCAGAGCACGCTGGCCGAATTCTACCCGAGAGAGTCCGCTGCCCGTCACGGAGCCTCCTAAGACCACTACACCTTCTGGAGGCCCGGGCTAAAGGTCACATGACCTGTCTCCCTCAGAAAACCTCACCCCTTGTGTCCACCTCTACTCTGACAAGTGGTGTTTAGAATTACAGGGCATAACTCTGGGATAATACATATTTAGTATGCATAAAATGGTTATATAAACATGCATGTCATTATCCCATGTTTTATGACCACCAGAGATTATTCCATTATTCCCTGTTGTTGTGTTATACATGTTTGTGTGTACTTTGTGTGGATACAATATGTAATCGTGATTTGCTTTTGTTTCACTGATTTGTTTTGGAGATGCATACCATCCTGTAGTTCATTTTTTTTTCTTTTTTTTCCGACTTATTTCACGGTCCGCAGCCTAAGGCGAATATTAAAAACATTTGAACTCAAAGGGAAAAATTCAGGGCTTACTTACACATTTATGTCCTCTCTCACATCCTCCATTCATCATTGCAACAAGCACACAAATAATGCCATATTTCGAAACATTCCAATGTAAATCATGAGAATATTTGATTTACAAATTAATTTCCATCCCTTCCCTTGAAAATATTTGCTTTTATTTATTTTAATGTCCAAAAAAACTAATTAAAATGAATGTTTGTGCACCCAACTTAGTTTGTGTTATGCTGACAGACAGGTAATTATAGGTGTTGAATGATCATATAGTGTGTATGCTTGTCACTGACAGCTGTTATTTCCCCTTTAGAGGAGGATGAAAGATGTTTATGGCATCTGCTTTGAATTATGTGCTGAGATATAAGACTGATTAAGCATTCCCCTCTTGTATGTGTAAATGCATTTTACCTGTATTGATTGCTATTAAACCTGTCAAACCTCTCAGATTAATTAAATTATATTGTTATATCGTGATTGGCTGACTACTTCATTTATTTGTCCTAATATCAGTAATGTTAATTGAAGTGAATGAAAATGCCAGTGGGTTGTTTTCTGTGCCAAGGGATTATCCTTACAAAAATCTATCAATATAACAGTTCCCACAAAAATATCATAGTTTCTGTAGTTAGTGGGTGTTTCTTTAAATTCTGGCAATTTTATGCCCCAGGGGTTGATTTTATTAAAAGTAACAAGTTTCATCTTGTTCAATTATTTGTGCAAATATTTAAATGCTTTTGTGTTAGAATTTATTGTTTTACCTGCGTCTCAGACCTATATACTGTTAAAAAAAATTGTAATAATTCATTAGTGTTTTTGCCCCTTTTAAAGATTTTTTTTTTTTGAAAGTTAAGTGTATTTGTTTAGGAAGGAGAGGAAAATTTTGAACCTTTTTTTTATTTTTGTGTGTCCTTTCCAATCTAGCAATAATTTTGTGTGATCAAGCAGAAAGTAAAAAAATATAATTACTGTGTGTATTAGCATACATAAAATGCTAGTTATTTTAAATGCTATTTTATTCTAAAAATGTTTAGACGTCATTTCCACCCCCTCATTCCCGTCACAGAATGCTGTTAAACATTACAAAATTTAAGATATGAAAATGACACTGGTGGAAATGTCCATGACTTGAAAAAAAAGGACTATGAAAATTAACTGAGAGTGTGAAATGCAATGTGTTTTAAAATAATTTATTTTCTAAACCTTTACGAAAATTAACCATGGTTTTACTACAAAAAAAAAAAAAACATGGTAACCACAAATTAACCATGGTATTTGTAGTAAAACTGTGGTTATACAAATTGTTATCAATACGCCAAAAAAAAAACCGTCATGGTTGCTACAATTTCGAGTCGAGGACTGTCCATAAGTGAAGAAAACCCAATACAAAATCGTATAGGCTGTCATTTATACCGCTTATTATAATGGATTTTTTTCTGATACCATTTATTGTAGTAACTATGGTATTCGAGGGAGAACTATGGTTTGCATGGTACGTTTTTACTTTAACGGAGCACGCGGGTGACCGTAGGTATGACCAGCTGTCATTTCCTGTATCGCTCGCGCTGTGCTTAACCGGAGTTTTGAATCAGTAATCACAGGAACTCTCAATGGCGTCAACGGGAGAGCAGAAAGAAGTGAAAATGATTTCAGAACTGTCCAACCAAGGTAAGAGTGACGATGTCGAATGCATTAGGAGTGCTGGTGTGCCCTAACTAGTGTGCTTAGTAGTGTATAGAAACTAGGCTGCTGAAACTGTCTGTAACAGTCAACACACAGGTACTATAATAACAGGCCTACATGAAGTAGTGTTTTTCTTTTCTTTTCCCCCTAGTTAACACTCGTCTCAATGTCGACTTTGTTTACCTTTTTCCCAGAAAGAAAAAGCCCATAATAGTTGTACGAGGAAACAAATAATATATTTACCAACCAACAAATTCTGAAGTGGAACAAAGATTGTATTATTACATTCGCTGTACTTTGTAATCTCTTCTGCATCATGCAGTATTTCTAAAGGAATATTTTCCTTTAGAAATACTCCATAAATCCTTTTGCTTTGAGAAACTTGTTTGGACATGCACACACATTTTTGGTTAACATCCTGGCATTTCTTTTGTTTTTATGTACAGGTGAAACGTATATTGCAGCCTGTCTTCTTATTACCCATTTAATTATGTTTTTTCCCAGCTAAGTAGGGATATGCCGGTATCAAATTTTCATGTTGCGATTAATTGCTAATGCTTTTATCACGTTATGCGGTATTATCGCGGTATTGCAATTTAGTTTAAAAAAAAGTGCTCTCATAATACAGTATAACAGGTTTAATAACTTTTCTCTTATAACAAAAATAACTGATCGAAGTATTTGTCACTGTGATGAACATCATAGCAAATACACAAATCTGAATGGCTGTTTAAATCATTTAAACACCTTTCAGAAACAGAAAGTAGTGCAGCTGCTTTATTTACAGGGTTTCCGGGGTAAAGGCTGCATTTAAATGAATTATTATAATTATTATTATTATTATTTCTGCAGTTTAGCGCCATCTGCTGTCAGAGAGTGAAAGTGCGCTTTCATCCAGAGCGTCTCTCACATGTTCCGCCATGTGCTTCTCGTCCGCGCTTATTTACATCAGAGTGCGCATGTGTCTTTCACGCAGCATACAGCGGTGTTGTGCATTTTGACCAGTTGATGGGAAAAGTATTCTTAAAATGCATTCAAAATTCTGAATAATTTGTAATATATAATTATTCACGGTATTTAGAAGTGCCCACGATAACAATATCGTGCATAGTTATTACCGTGATATATCGCATTACCGAATACCGGCACAAGTCTACAGCTAAGTAACATTTATTTTACTCCTTGGATAACCAAATAAAACAAACGGATTTTTTATAATTGTTATTGGGAACTAATTTCTCAACTGATCTGAAAATCTTGATAGAATTTGTGGGGAAATTTGTGGTTGATAAACCAAGAATAAATGCATATTTACTCTGATATAATGTGCATTAAAACTATACTTTCAGTGTGTATAAAACAGTTACTTATTCAGAATTGGGTTCTGGGTTTTCTAATGGACACAAAAATGTGACCACTGACTGACATGTATTGTGATAATTATTTATATGACTTAGACCATTTGAATATTAATATGATAGCTGTGCCTGTATTATGACATGTTTTATAGAGCTTTGATGCAGATACCATCTCTGAAAGCTCTAGTTATATGACTCAGAGTAGCCATGTAAAACTGTTGAAATCAAGTCTGAAATCAAAACACATGAAATCAAGACTGTACTTTCTTTAACTCTTGGTAAAACGCATCAACTTTTTTTTTTTTTGAAGCGACAGATGTTATTGTTGGAATGAAATGAGTAAATGTTCCTGACTGCTGTATAATTTCCCTCTAGAATTAGGTTAGTAAACAGCACTCTGAAAGATGTCTTAAGGCGAGATTTGTATGGTATCCTTTTGCTCAAAGCGCCCTACTGACCTCATAAATAGAGAGAGAAAACATTAAGATTATTCACATTATTCTACTGAAGACTGGAACTTGAAAAAATTAAACTGAAGTTGCTGTCTGCTCTGGTCTTTTCCATGGTAGTCTATGTCACTGTGACATTAATAACCCAGACACAGTGTGGTTTGTAAACCCTTTACAGATAATGTCTTCTGTTCTAAAATTAGATGCTTATTCAGTAGAGCTGATGCTGATTCATACAACAGGCAGAATGTAGACAGATATGAGTGGAACTGTCATCATCTTCACTAGCAAATGTATTTCTCATCCTTGGGGAGAATTTCCTCTATTTGTAATTATATATTTTTGCAACATTAAAAATACTTTTGTGTAAATTAGCACTCGTTTCCATGAGCAGTCCTCACGCTGGAAATGAGTTGTGGTTTGCAGTAGAAGTTTCTCTCTGATTTGATCTCCCGTATAGTGTGTTGCAATAACTTACTGTGTAGTTCATGCAAAGTTGTGAGAGATGTTTGACTGGCGTCCTTGTATTTCTGCAGTACTTCTCCAGTATGAAATCCTCCAAAGAGAATATGAGATAAGCAAAAAGGAGGTAAGATGCTTACTGTCATACTGTCCTTTCTTTCACCCCTTATATCTTTTTTCATTGCACTTCTATAACATCTGTTTGTGGTCTTAAAGGTATAGTTCACCCGAAAATAAAGGAAAACATTTTGGAAAAAAAAAAAAATTTTAGCACTGCATTGACTTTTATTGACTTTTCAGAAACAGAAAATTCTGTCATCTTTATTCACCTTCATGTATACTGCGGTTTAAAAGTTGGAGGTCTGTAAGATTTTTTCAAATGTTTTTGAAAGAAGACATTTATGTTAAAAAAGGATGCCTTTGTTTAATCAAAATGGGGGAAAAAAGAGTAGATTAGAAAGATTTCTGAAGGAACGTGACACTAAAGACTGGAAGAATGGCTCCTTACAATTCAGCTTTGCCATCACAGGATTAAATTACATTTTAAAATATATTAAAATAGAAATTAGTTATGTTAAATTGAAATAATATTTGACAATATTACTGCTAACACTGTAAATAAATGTAGCCTTAGTGAACGTGAAACACTTCTTTTAAAAACATTTTAAAAATCTTCCAAAATTTTAAACTGTACATTCTTGAAGGTGAGTTAGTCATGACAGAATTTTCCCCTATCCCTTTGAAATTATATTTTGGGATGGTTTGCTATTAATAAAATAAAAAAAATAAATATATAAATAAATAATTTAAAATAAGTGCAGATGTTCTGTTTCAAATAAAAAAAAAAAATGTTCTATCAGTGCATACTATACTCTGGCCACTGAACTAAACATATACAATATATAATGCATTTGATGAAAATCATATATATGATATGATATAAATTTGATACCAGATTTATTTATTTATTTTCAGTGTAAACAAATGCAAGAGGAGAGAGATGAGGCCTTACGGAAGCTAAAAGAATTTGAACAAGGTTGGTTTTTAAGATTTTAGATTCACTTCAAAGATCTTCAAATTCACATCAGACATCCTTCTGTGTAGTACATTAAAACAAGTGTATTTTAAAACACATTTATTTATAAAGACTACTTTCACTTCAGTTTCTGTAGGAAATCCAGGCTATATGTGCTTTGCTCCTTTGGACTTTGATCCCATAATATTGCAAGAACTATGACACCATTCTATATAGACACACCCAGTTATTCCGTAATCATCATTTCCGTTTTCCAGTCCTGTTTTAATGTTATTCAAACTGCAAAATTACTTGTGTGAACAAATTATGTATTTGAGTTTACATTCACTGTGTCCAGATGGGTATGTAATGCTGGGTAGGATGTTTTGTTAAATACATTAGGTATCAAACTGACATCTGAGATGTTCTTTTTGTAGACATTAGTGGAGCTATCGGACGCTTTCGCTCTCATAGTCTGAAGTTTGGGATTGATATCAATCACACACCTGG